CTGGAATTGGCTCTCTTTTAAGGCAAAACTGACCAATCCCTTTGGTGGGCCACAATCATCTTATTTGCACAGCCCCACCCAATCACCTGGGTGGGAGTTACAAGACCATGGTGAGAAAGGCCATATTAAGTAATTCATTACACCACAACACACAACCTTAACCATCAAGGTGGGGTCCCGGAAGATGTAGCTGTATTTATGGGAGGACCATATTTATGGAAAGCCTTGGATGCCAGTCTCAGCAGGAGCCATCACAGGTTCCTAAGGAAAGAGCTAGTGGATGGATGTTTTTTGGTAATTGGCAGAAGGGTGGATGGGCCAGTGGACCCAGGAAACCACACACACAGAAGGCTTTTGTTTCAGTCCTGTGAGGCACAAGTCTCTGCCCTGGGCCTTGGCAGTGGGGGTGGAGAGGAAGGCAAGCATTCGAAACCACTCAGATTGACAAGAAGGAGGGTGGTTGAGCAGATGGGGGAGCAGCAGGAGGTTCTGAGGTTTCGGGCCCTAGTTTATGGTTCCTACAAAAGTGAGGATTACAGGAAGGAGAGGAGGTCTTTAGGGAATTTTTATTTAACATCTATTTCTACCCTTCCCACATAAGCTGTTTGTTCTAGGTCCTAAGTTATGAAACAGTAATTAATTTTAGTAGACTCATCAGTGGTGAAAACAGTTATTTAAAATAAACAAGATGAGCCTGGGACACATTTATTGTAGTGCCAGAAAGTAAGGACGTGCTCAGAAAACAAAAGAGACAATGATGGCGGTATGTGATAGGGACACAGGCGCTCCCGATGGCCAGTGTTGGAAAAATTGGAGCAAAAAAAATAAAGCAGTATTGGATTATAGCCCAAAGTATTATGAAAAATTCACGAATCTATACTAATACAAATAAATGATTGAATAAATAAATAAATGGGGGAGAATAGATAAATCTCCCATGTAGAAGAATTCCAAATTGTTTATGTTGATGCTCTGTCCTAAGGAGGAGGTGCATAAATCCCCATTCGTTAAGCATGGGCTTCATATGGTGACTTCCTTCCAAACAGTACCGTATGGAAAGGGGGAAAAAGAGAAACCTGACAAACGCTATCTCGCCAGGTGATCGAGGTCAACATCAACAGTGACAAGTCATGTCGGTAGCATGTATCCTTGACACAATGTGATGAGAATGCACTTCGCTTGTGTGATCTTCCTCCCAAAAACCCATGACGCCAGCCTAATCATGAGAAAAACAACATGCAAATCGCAATTTAGGGCTATTCTAAATAATACCTGATCAGTACTGCTCAAAACTATCAAGGTCATCAAAAATAAGGAAAGTCTGAGAAACTATCACAGCCAAGAGGAGCCTGAGGAGACGTGAGACTAAATGTAATGTGGTCTCCTAGATGGAATCTTAAGGGGGAAGCAGATTAGGTAAAAACTATGGAAATCTGAATAAAGTAGAGGCTTTAATTAATAGCAATGTATCCTTGTTAGTTCATTAATTGTGACAAATGTACCACACTAAGACGCTAATAATAGGGGAAATGGCTGTGGGGGCATATGAGGCTCTGTAGCATCTTTGCAGTTTTTTTGTAAATCTAAAACTATTCTAAAATGAAAAGTTTATTTAAGTAGAAAAAGAAAAAAAACCCTCCAGTTATTCAGTGGAGAATGACTGATTATGCCCAAGAATGGAAAATGTCAAAGCTGGACTTTCCAGCCTATGTGGATGGGAGTGGCTATTAACAGCAGTGAGGAGTAAAGGTATAAAGAGTGAGAAATGGTTGATGGTGTGTGTGTGTGTGTGTGTGTGTGTGTGTGTGCACTGTCCAGCTAGCTAAGCAGGTACCCATGAGGCCAACTGCACACAGACGTAGGGTAGCTGAGTGTCTAGGTGACAAAAAGCACCTCCCTTCCCCAACCACAAGCCCCATCTCCCATCACTGCAGCTGAAGTTGAGAAGGCACTCTTAGGAAGCCATTACTTTTAGCTTAGATGATGTTTCTCACACTTGAGTAGTGTACAAATGGGCTTCTTTTAAAGGAGAAAATACTACTGCAAATCTCTGAGAATATTCCTGATGACCCAAGTTATAGAAATGCTAGGTTAAAGTCTTACTGTAGGAAATGTCTTTCGGTTGAGAATTACCACTGCTAGAGTTGAGTCTTTAAACCAAAACCAAACCGGATCCGTTGCTGTCAAGTCGATTCCAACTCACAGTGACCCTATAGGACAGAGTAGAACTGCCCCATAGAGTTTCTAAGGAGTGCCTGGTGGATCCAAACTGCCAACCTTTTGGTTAGCGGCTGTAGCACTTAACCACTATGCCACCAGGGTTTCCAGAGTTGAGTCTTTAGGATAGGTAAAATATTTTTTAAATTATTGAAATAAAAATACACAGAAACTCTCTTGTCATTTTCAGAACTCTGATAAAATGTCCCAGGACGCCCAGGTTAGGAAACACAGAACTGAGTCATCAAACCCAGGAGAAGGTCAAGAAATAAGGCTTAATGGTGGGAGGCTCCGGCCTTGCAGCAGGCCCAGGGAGCCTGCTGGGCTAGCTCAGGAGTAGGCTCCAGGAGACAGGCCTTTTGGAAAAGAAGTGTAACTGACTGTGATCTGATGCTTGGCCTGTGGGGAAAAGGGCATTTTGAGGTATTTTATCAATAATCTGGAACATTTTGGAAGAATTGCCAGTAAAATTAATAATTTTATTATTAATAAATAATTATTAAAATTATTAAAATAATTTTATTAATTTTCCTGAAAGTAATAATTGCCTCTTTTTTATCAGCTCAATTTGTTAATAAAATTGAGCTGATAAAAAAGAGGCAATTATTACTTTCAGGAAAAAAACATACAGGAGACGGAAGGTAATCATTATATTGTCTGGCTCAGTAGCAAACGGTGTTACATAATCATAATAATGCAAACCCTGAAGGCCGGTTTAACAAAAATTTGTGATGTGGTTCTACAAGAAAGATGGGGAGGAGGAAAATGGGAAGGTTTGAAAAATGCCAAATCCTTATGTAACATAATAGGAAATCAATAATAAATAATGTCTAAGATTAGTAAAGCAAGAAATGCCTAAAAAATGGAAAGCCGTTTCCTCTGAGGAGAAGGACTAGGGGTGGGGAAAGGTGGGTCAAGAGTCTATTTTTCATTATCCTCTTAGACTTAAAAGTCTATTATTATTTTGCCTATATTACTTTGATAATAATAAAAATAGGAAGGCACAAATGATCCCTATTTGACTCTAAGTGAATCTGGTCCTGCCTGAGGCGATCAGTGTATAAACCTTGGATGCACATCTCCAGCAACTGGCAGTGTTTGGAGTGAGAATTCTGTCCTCCACCATTAGTGACAACGGTTCACTTAGACCCCGAGAACTCCCTATTTGGCAGTGGTCCTGAGTTTCCCACTAAACCAAATTCCACAAAATCATTAAAAACATGTAAATGTAATTGCTGTCAGTAAGTTATATACCTGCAAAAAGTTGAGTTAGGAAAGGTTGTGTGACAGATATATTTACAACAACAACAAAAAAAAGAGCAGCTATTGAGGCTGCCTATGTACAACCAAACACCTCAGGGGATTTGGTTCCTTGGTTTGGAGGTTTAAGGTCATGGTTTCATGGGACATCCCAGTTAATTGGCCTAATAACACGTTTAGTGCTTCTGTTCTACCTCGCAGTTCATTGTGTAGCGCCTGGGGTCTTAAAAGTTTGCAAGCGGCCATCCAAAGCACAACAACTCGTCTCTATTCACTGGAGCGACAGAGGAAGAAGGAGAGTCAGGAATAGGGGGAGGAAATGGAATGTATGGCTAACTGCCTCCATGAACAGCTGCCTCCTTTGCCATGAGACCAGAAGAAGTGGATGGTGCCCAGCTATCATTACTGAACATTTTGATCAAAGATTCTATAGAAGAATCCTGATCACAAGAGGAAAATATGGAAGAGAATTTCAAATTCTCATGGACTTCAGATTTTCTGGAGCCACGGAGACTAGATGAACCCCCAAAACTGTTGCCCTGAGATAATCTTTAAACCTTAAACCCAAAATATTCCCTGAAGTCTTCTTAAAACCAAACAATAGTTTAGCTTAACTAGTAAAGAATGTCTGCCTTGAGCATTGTGCTCTTTTAAGAACTATCTACGTGGGATCAAACTGACAACAGCAACTTGAAAAATTAGACAGCAAACTTAGGGACAGTGAGTTTATGTTAATGGGGGAAAAACAATTCAGAAAAGGAGGGTGAGAATGTCGTACAACTTGAAGAATGTAATCAATGTCACTGAATTGTACGTGTAGAAACTGTCGAATTGGTGTACGTTCTGCTGTGTATATTCTCAACAATAAAGCTATATTTTTGCACATTCAAAACAAAACAAAACATATGAATGTGGGATAGGATTTATTCAGTGTCTCCCTTGGCCTTCTGCCAGGTTCCCTTCCGAGCTTCCTTGCCTAATGTGAATATCTTGGCACGGAAATTCATAGTTACACTCTGGACATTTTCCCTCACTCTAGACGAGGATGCCCGAACCACTGGCAGCAAGGGTTTGGGTGGCATGCTTATGCTGTAGAGATGCACTAAGGAGCACACCAGCCGGGAGCAAGTGGAGTTCACTGTGTTGCACGTGAGCAGGGCAGTCCCAGGCCTGTTGAGTCTAGGACCCCAAGCTTTGCAGTCAGGGCCTAGTCTCTGTCCAGTGTGGACTCCTTTGCTGGCTTACCTTCCTGGTAAGAACCCTGTATTTGTTTGTACAGTCATCAAATTTTCTGCCCCTGTAAAGCCAGTTTCCCTGCAAGCTGCTTTCCTCCAAAGAAATACTTCTATGTTCTAAGTTGAAAGTTCTAAATTTAATTTACCGAATTTTATGGATCAGAAAGATGAGTTTTTCTATTCCCTCACTCAACCCTCCAGATTCCTTAGTATGCTAGATAAATTCCGGAATGAATTTATAAGGAGACACCACTGGAGAGAAAACCTTTATTTACATAATAAAAAACGTGGGTGAAGGAAGAAGAGGCATATGAGAACCAGATTAAGGTGGAAGAATCTTAGTGGAAGAAGAGGAGAAGAAAGGGCCATCCGGGAATCAGGGAGAGGCGAGTAGAGGGGCTCTCGCTGCCACAAACACGTTCCGCTGTTGGCCTCTGGACTCACGATCCCTGGACTTCTCTTCCCTTGGCTCAAGGTCTCACTGTTGGTCCCCTTTCCTTGTCTCACAGCCCCAAAGTGCTCCCTCCCCAAACCCAATGGAGGATTGACTCTTCGTACTTAACTGTGCTTGGCAGTGACAACTCAGAAGCTGCTACTTTTTTTTGCAGCACTTAGTGATTTTGACACCCTTGGACCGCCAGGAGCAGCTCCTCCTGCTGCCAGAGGATTCTGGCTTTTCTAATAGGGAAGGTCCCGGCCAATCAGTCCAAGAAGGGCCCGGATTCTCTTCTAGGCCAGTGTCTCTGCAGAAGTGCTCCTCGGGGTGGAAGGTGCTGCTGCAGCAGGGGATGTCACTGGAGTTTTCAGGTGTGTAGTCTGAGGAAAGAACGGGGGAAGAATGCAACCTTCTGCCTATCCCAGGCGCAGGTCCTCTAGTCCCCCCTCCCCGCTTAGGCACCTGCCTTTCAAAACTGAAGGTGCCAATTAAAAGCCCCCTCTGGTGGCATGCCTTCCTCCTTTCCCAGGCACCATGAGCACCCCCGTCTGCCCAGTTCTCCAGATCAGTCCATCCCTCCAGTCCCACCTGTGGCTGAAGTGGAAGGTGCACACTCTTCACACTCCCATTTCTTACTGTTGGATCTAAGAGAGGAACAGTCCTTATGGGTTCCGTGGGATCCGCAGGTAGCACACAAAACAAGGCACCACCTCCTACAGGAAGAGCCAAGGAAGAGTTGTGTGGGCAAATACAGCACTGCATCTTGGGATGTTCACTCTGGGTCAGGCCTGTGCTGAGGCCTCCCCTGGCATTTCTACTGTACATTTTACCCATCAAGCATGTATGGCTCGGAGAGGCTAAGTGCTGATCCCAAGGCCTGCCGTCAGGCACAACCATCCGTTCGCAAGGTGCATTTGGAAAGGAATTGGCCCTGAGCGTCTCTCCATCGGGCAAAAGGAGAAGCAGACGCTGCACAGAGACCTGTTCATCCGCGCATGAATGAGTTAGGGGTTGGTCAAGAATGGAACTTAGCAACTGTGTTCACCGTGAGGCCTGCAGGCAGAAGTGCATTTCTGGCTCCTAATAACTGTGCTGGGGTCTAACTCTAAGATGGTGAAGATAAGAGCTCTTTCTTAGCCAGGAGCCCTTCCCTACCCTTCGTCCTCAAAGCTGTCTCTGCCTTGTTCGTACAGACAAGTGGGGGCATCACAATGCTGATAGCGCTGATACAACTCCGAGAAAGCCCCTGGCTCGAGTTCCCAGGCAGCATCTCTACAGTAGGAGAAGAAATGGCGAATAAGCGACACACAATCCACTGGTGAATCTTTATCCACGGGGCAAGAACCTGGAAGGACTGAAGCTCAGCACAGCAAGAGAGCTTAACACAGGCTGCTTGACCCCTTTCAGCAAGGGTGGGCGAGTGGCATGGAGAGGGCTGAAGCAGGATGAATGAAACACGGGGGTTCCTTAGTTCCACCCTAGATCCAAGAACCCAACCCCCCAGGGAATTCTGATGCCCAAAGTACCCTTTAAAGAACCTCCCCTCCCCTCCTCTTTCTTTTGATACTTGACCCTGATTTCAATGCCTTGCTACTTTTTCAAGGAGCTATGGTGGTGCAGTGGTTAAACGCTTGGCTGCTAAACCAAGAGGTTGGAGGTCTGAACCTACCAGCCAGTCCATGGGAGAAAAATGTGGCAGTGTGCTTCTGTAAAGATTACAGTGTTGGAAACTGTATAGAGCAGTTCTACTCTGTCCTATAGGGTCACTATCAGTCAGAATCATCTGGACGGCACACAACAACAGCAGCAGCAGCTTCTTCAGTCTCTGAACTAGCCTCACACTCACCTCCTCTCTACATCTAGGCAACCTACTCCCTGGCTCAGTTTCTGCATTACAGTTTCTACTACCTGTCTGGAATGTGAATTCCCATTCTTAGCATTTCTTGAGGAAACTCTTCTCGATTGTTACACTGTGGACATTTGAAGAAATGTTTTGCTGACGTGTGGGCATATTTCTGTAAGAGAAACATAGGAGAGCTTTGTCTTTGTAAACACTGTCCTTGACCACCCTCTTTCTACCCCCACCCACATCCCACAAAGAGCATGTCATTAACTGGTGAGAGAGGAAAGGTGAGAGCTTGGCTGGGGGTTATGGTGGAAGGAGTGGGGGTGGGCTAGGTACGAGAGCTGCACATTTGGTGTCAGACCATCACCTGGGACCAAAAGGCTTTCAAGAGAGTTCCCAGGTGAGCCTTAGCTGCCAGCTCCAGCCATGGTGCTTGGCAGTTCTGACCCAGAAGGGTTCAGATACCTCGGTATGTTTCTTTCTCTTTCATTCCAGGAAGCAAGGCTGATTTAGAGACTACAACTCACTCTAGGATGAGCCTCTTAGCAATCCTGAGGCTTTTGCTCAGTCTGAATTTTATCATGGGTGAGGTCCTACAGGACAAACATGACCAAAGGCCGGGCTGAGGTTCCTTGGACTGCCCGGAACCACCTGCATTCGGGCCTTCAGAAGGGAGCTCTGAAGCTGAGATGCCCCCACGCGATGCCAGGCTGTTGTGGTTCCAGGCAGAGAACTAGAGCCATTGTGGAAGGTCGCGAGGGCAGAGAAAGCCCCACCTGTATGCACTTGCGGTGGTAGATGGTTTGACTACAACACGGGCTCTGAATGTTTTCAACACTCGCTTGGGATAAGTCTTCACAACACAAGACGCAGCTTTCCTCCCCCTTGTTCCCCCGTTTGATGTCCTGTGTTGGGCGATGTTTTCCACAAAATGATCTGTGACAGAGGAAACAGACTTGGTTTCTGATTGGTCGCTGACAGTTTTCCAGGGACCTGGCCTAGGAAGGGCAATCAAACACCTAGGCAGTGCTCAGTGAACGCCCACCCTCAGGGAGAGGAAGTAAGGGTGCAGAACAGCCACATGCCTCCTCACGGCTGCTCTCCCACAGAGCAAAGCTTCCGGGACTGTTTCCACAGCCTTTGTTCCTGAAAGCCCCACTTAGTTCTGAGCAGCTATCTAAGAACCCCAGCTGTTTGTAATTTAAGAAGAGGATGGGAAGTAAGAAGTAACCCCCGTGAAATGTCCAAGTTAAGACGCTGTTTCCCATTACCGAATGGAGGGACAGGGCCGTGAGAACCAAACTCTGATTTCATTAACGGCTACACAGCAAGTTGCAAAAAGGCGGCTCTACTTTCCTCCTTTATCACTCACTTGTACTCTCCAAAAAACTGTGAAAGGCAACCCCTTTCTTGGCCACAAGGCAGATGGAAGTTTCTGACGCAGTGATCTTTCTGGCAGTGGATGGCAGCTCCCTTTTTCTTGCAGACAAAGCAGATCTGCAAATGAGATCCCAGCCAGAGCTCAGGGCCCCAGGGAAGACAGACGCCCTGCAGCGCATCTTTCTGTGGGATGGAAATGCCGTGAAACCTGTGTTCCCTTCCCTCAGTGGTCCTGGAAGTGCTGGGGCTCCTAAAGCTGAGCTTCAAGCAGCACAGAATTAATTCTTTTTGTTCACTCCGGATGTTGCTCCCTCTCCTCATTTAGGCTGCTACACCACAGAGGAGTATGGAATTCAAAGGAAGGACCACTTGGGAAATCCAAGAGTCCTCTGACTGCTAAACAAGCAACCAGGGAAAAGAACAGAAACAGGCTGATGAGAGACGTGTGAGAAGAGGCAGAGAAAACCCGGCCTACCCCAAGGCCGCCATTTCAGGGGATTCTAACCTTCCTAGAAGCCCGGGCTGCCTCTTTTTTGATGTCTTCAGGCAGGAATCCATGGAAACCTCTGTTGGACTGGCCCCTCTGAGGCAGCTTGCTAGATAGGATCTGGGGGCGGCAGAACCAGGCCGTCAACATTGGCGATCGGTGACACAGTGCCATAGGGTGTGGAGGACCCCAGGGTAAACAGAGAGCTATGGAACTGAGCTTGGTGGAACATGTAGCGCATTTAGAGTGTCATTTCTTTAACAAAGGCTTACACAGCACTGTGTGTTGGCTACTCTTCTAGGGGCCTTTAAAACTTTAACTCATATAATCCTTGTAACAACCATAGGAGGTAGGTTCTACAGTAAAACTTGCAAAAGCTGGAACCTGTGTTAAGTGGAAACCTGTCAGAGAAGGAAAACTCAAACATTTTCCCCTAATAGAGAGTGATAGAAAAGTGGTTAAGACTGCACGCTGTCAAAAGCAGAAAACTCGTGAGTCCCAGAAAATCAAGGCAGGCCATTGAGTTCCAGCTCTCACAGGTTTCACTGTATCCTCATCTCATTTAATAGGAGCGATGATGTGACCTGCTCAAGGCCACAGAGCTCCAAACTCTGGGCTCTGCGCCACCTTTCTGCTGCGTGCCTCTCGTTACTGAGGACTGCTCTCGTGTGCTGGGCATTTGGGGGAAAACACTCCCTGGGTACTGACTCATTTTATGCTCACTGCAACCCTGTAATATAGATGGTACTCAGGATCTTACTGTAGGATCCTCGGATTCTGCACTGAGGTGCTGCAGGGTAAGTGACTCAGCATGGGTCACACGGGAGGAGGCAGCAGGGCCGGCATTCATATTCAGGCCCACGGAACCCACACTCTCACCCCTGCTACCATGCTGCCCCGGATAAATACTCTCCTCAGAGCATGTTCTGTACAGGAAAGGAAGCACAGACTCTTGACTGCAGCCATTCTGCACTATAGGAGAGGGAAAATGTTGCACTATTCTTTAAAAACATACTTTAAAGGGCCTTTGTTTCTAAAAAGTCCCCAAAGCAGAGTCTGAAATGAGAAACTAAGGACACAGAGGCTAAACTGGTCTGTTACACACAATGGTAGGATGTCAGCCCCTGCCTCCCACAGAAATGTTCTGAAATATTGGGGAGGGTGCTGGACTTTCTGCAGTAATCATGAAATGTAAAATGGGGGCTCAGGTTATTAGATTTTAACATTATAGAAAAGGTGACTCTAAAGGCTGGGTTACTTTGATCATGTTCCCAATTATGTTTTAAACATATAAAATATATACTTTAATACTGATTATCTCAAGGTTTTAAGATTATATGAGTGACTTCTGTTTTCTTTATACTGTCAAGTATCATTCTTGTTTTCTACAAAGAGCAAGTATTATTTCTATAAACAGAGAAAATCAGTAATGAAAGATCAGAAACAATCTAAATGTTCTTTAATAGAGGTTTGGTTTCATACTTTTTGGTACACTCACACCAAACAAAACAAAACAAAAAAGTCACTGCCGTTAAGTCAATTCTGACTCATAGTGACCCTACAGGACAGAGTAGAACTGTCCCATAGGGTTTCCAAGGAGTGGCTGGTAGATTCAACTGCTGACCTTTTGGTTAGTAGCTGAGTTCTTAAGCACTACGCCACCAGGGCTCCCCTATATGGAAAGCTCCCCCAAAATATATTAGATGAAAAAAAGCAAGATTCAAAACACTAGGTAGAGTATGTTTATTTTTATGTTAAAGTACATATGCTTATAAGTGCATCAAAATTAACAAAGCCCTGACACCAAAACCTAACGGGACTCGTGAGAGAGGAAAACCACAGGCCAGTCTTTCTCATGAACATAGACGTTAAAATGAAACAAAACGTTAGCAAACTGAACCTAGCACTATATAGAAAGGATAATACATCATGACCAAGTAGGGTTTATAACCGGATTGCAAGGTTAGTTTAACATTAAAGAAGTCAATCGATATAATAAACTACATTAACAAAATAAAGGAGAAAAGTCATGATCATCTCAATAGATGCAGAAAAGGCAGTTGACAAAATTCAATACACATTGATGATACTCTCAGCAAACCAGGAATAAAAGAAAACTTCCTCAATTAGATAAAAGGCATCTACAAAAAAACTACAGCTAGCATCGTATTTAATGGTGTAAAACTGGATGCTGTCACTTGATGTTGGGAACAAGACAAGGATATCCACTCACATCACTTCTGCTCAACATTAGGTTGAAGGTCCTAGCCAGTGCAATAAGGCAAGAATAAAAAATAAAAGACATAAAGATTGGAAAGCAAGAAGTAGAATTGTCTTTATTCACACACGACATGATTGTGTACACAGAAAATACTAGGGCATTCACCAAGAAACAAAACAAAACTACTGAACTAATCAGTGAATTCAGAAAGATTGCAGGATACAAAGTCAATATACAAAAGTTAATTGCACTTCTATATACCAGCAACAATGAACTGGAAAATGAAATTCTAAAATATTATTTATAATAGCATAAGAACCACAAAATATTTAGGAATACATTTCACTAAAACTGCAAAACATTCCTGGGATTAAATTTTAAAAGACTGAAAAAAGTAAAGATATATACCATGTTCATGAATGAGAAGATTCAATATTATTTGTCAATTTTTTCTAAATTGATCTATAAATCCAATGCAATCACAATTCCAGTAGTATTTAAAAAAAAAAATTGACAAGCTTAACATAAGGTTTATATGGAAAAGAAAAAGACCTAATAGCCAAAACAACCTTGGCAAAGTTTGGAGAATTTATAATACTTAATTTCAAGACAGTATAAAGCCACAATAATCAAGATGGTGTGGTACTGGTGTAAGGATAGACACATAGGTCAATGACATAAAATAGATCATCCAGAAATAGATCTACAGAGAAATAGTCAACTGATTTTTGACAAAGGCGCCAATATATTTCAACGGGTAGGCAAGGATTTCCTGGGACACACAAAAAACACTAGCTATAAAAGAAAAAATCAGTAAATTGGACTTCATCAAAATTTAAAAACTTTTGCTCTTCGAAAGACACCATTAAGAAAATGAAACGGCAAGACAAGATTGGGAGAAAATAGTCACAATACATTTATCTGAAAAAGGATTTGTATTCAGAATATATAAAGAACTATTACAGCTCAATGATAAGAGAAACAACACCATTTTTTAAAAGGGCAAAATATGTGTATAGACACTTCACAAAATATGTGAATGGCCAATAAGCACATGAGAAGAAGTGCAACATCTTTAGTCATAAGAGAAATGCAAATTAAAACCACAGATGAGATATCAATACACATCCCACAGAAGGACTATAATGAAAAAGACTGACAATACCAAGTTTTGGCAAGAATATTGTGCAACTGGAACGCTCATAAATTGCTGGCGGGAGTGTAAACTCATACAACCACTCTGGAAAATGATTTGGGAATTTTACAAAAACATATGTTTACCACACAACCAGTAATTCCACTCTTAGGCGTTACTCAAGAGAAGTGAAAACACATGTCTACAAAAAGATTTGTACATGAATGTTCATAGCAGCTTTATTCATAGCCCCAAACTGGAAACACTTCAAATGTCCATCAACATGTGAACAGATAAACAAATTGTGGTATATTCATATAATAGAATACTGCTAGAAAATAAAAAGGCTCAAGATCTGACACATGCAACGACAAGGATGAATCTCAAAATCACTATGTTGAGAGAAAGAATCCAGACACGGAAGAGTACACACTGTATGATTCCATTCACATGAAGTACAAGAACAGGGAAAAGTAATCTACAGTGCATGGTGATAGAGATCAGAACAGTGATATCTTGGGGAAATTGACTGGAAGGGAGCAAGAGAGAACTTTCTAGGGTCATGGAAATGTTATTTATTTTTCTTTTTATTGTGCTTTAAGTGAAAGTTTACAGAGCAAATTAGTTTCTCAGTCAACAATTTATACACAAATTGTTTTGTGACATTGGTTACAATCCCTGTAATGTGTCAACACTCTCCCCTTTTCCACTCTGGGTTCCATTTGTCCCATATTCCTGTCCCTTCCTGCCTTCTCATCTTTGCTTTGGGCAGGTGTTGCCCATTTGCTCTTGTATACTTGATTGAACTAAGAAGCACATTCCTCGCGTGTGTTATTGTTTGTTTTATAGACCTGTCTAATCTTTAGTTGAAGGGTGAACTTTGGGAGTGACCTCAGTTCTGAGTTAAAAGGGTTTCAGGGGGCCATAGTCTCAGGGGTTCCTCCAGTCTCCACCAGACCAGTAAGTCGGGAAATATTATTTATTTTGATTGAGGCAGTGGTTACGTGGGGATACATTTATCAAAATTTTGATACATTTATCAAAACTCATCATACTGAACACTTAAAATGGGTGCATTTTACAGTACGTAAATGATACGTAATGAAAAAAGAGTATTGGAGAAAAAATAACTGGAAGGACGGTTTATCAATAAACTGTTGATAGCAGCTGCTTCTGTGGAGAAGAAGAAGGACTGGGAATATTGTTTGGGAGGAGACTTACTTTTTATTGTACATACTTTATACTGTCAAGATTTTATACCCAGTATATATATTTCTTGCACATATTTTATCAGGTACCCATATAACGTCTACAAAATTAGCTTAAAAAAAAAGAAAAAAACACCAAACAAACAGGGCTATGGATCTGAGGCTGGATGCAAAAACAGACAATAGACTGTATAGCAAAAGCCAGAGGACATTCAAGGCAAAGGAGACCTTATACTCACAAGACAGAAGTAATGCACGCCGAGATTGTCTTTCTGAAGAAATTCCCCCAGTTTTTCAGGATCCCCAGGTTCTTGAAGGCATAGCCGACAAACTGGAAGAGATCATGTTAAGAATTAACTATGGGTTTGACTCAAGCTGACCATTAGAATGAAAGAGAAGAGTGGGAACACAATCATTTAAGTACAAACAGGAAGAGAGTATTGGGAACAGGTTCATTGTAGCAAGGAGTCGAGGTTGGGAGGAGGTGTTACTTGGCATGAGGCAGACTTTTATATAATTTTGGTCACATTGAAGGAGTTGGCTGCAACTGTTCGCTTCATTTTTTGTCTCAAGTAGCTTTATTTTAATTAACTTGCTTCTGGAACTTTGGACATGAAATTTAAAAATTACAGATCCCAACTTCTTGAGGATCTTGGAGAATCTGGGAAGGAAGTGGGGTTGACGGTGAGAGAAGCAAATTTGCTGCCCCACATAGGTAGCCCTCTTTGCTGAGGTCGGGAGGCAATGGCTGGACAGAACCTCTAGTCCTTACCAGGTCCTGAAGACGGCTTCCTCTGGGTTACCCTCCTAGTCTTGGCAGATTTTCTACACAAGAGAAAGGAGACAGACAAGGTGATCTTTGAGGACCTTGTCGACCCCCTTGCAACATTTTCCTCAAAATGCCTTACATGGGTCTGATGAAGGACCAAAATATCTACAGACCATGACATCAGTTTCTTTTCATAGTTCATATTTTTTGAAAGCACAAAACATACCCAGTAAGTTATCCGAGGGTTGGGACCAGATCACAACCATCTTTCTGTCCCTAGTTCCTGTAGGTGCTCAATGCCATTGACTGAATGAATGTGAGAACAAATCCTTTTTATTCTTTTACCCTTCTTCTGCCATGTACTCATAATCTCAGGTTGTACCAACTTGATAAAGCATACTAAAAATGGTAATAGCTAACTTAGATTGAGTATGTCTTATTTGCTAGGTATTATTCTCAGCATTTTACATATATTAACTCTAAAAAGTGGGTTCAATTATTATGCACATTTTCCAGACGAGGAAATTGAGACATAAAAAATGAAGTAACTTGTCCCGGGTCACATAGTTAGCAAGTGTCAGAGCCAGGCTGTGAACCAAGGCAACAGGACTGCAGAGCTAGCACTTTGCTACTAGGGACAACCCAGGGGCGATAAGTTACTGGGCAGCTTCTAGGGTCACTCGCAGGTGCCCAGCTGCAGCCCCCAACACCATGACAAAGAGGGCAAAAAGTGAAGCATATACTACAGGCCATTGGACAATTTCTCCCAAACTCCCTTACGTCACCTACTGTACCTCAATCTTTGGTGTTCCTTCTTCTTTTCTTTTATAGTCTTCATTCGCAGCTGCCTCTCTCTCCTATCTTGAATTCTTCTATACTATTACTACAACAATACAGGCTCTTCCAGCTACAAATAAAAGCAGGGCTTAGTCAGCAATTTAATTCCACATTTGATTATCAAGTTCTATGGGGTCAAAGCAATGGTGCCCTCCACCTCCCAAACAAGTGATGGAGTGAGGGACTCACCCCGAATCAATGCTAATAACAGCCAGTAACTATTAAATCATGCCAAAAACTGCTCTAGGTGCTTTACATGTGTTAGCTCATGCAGTAGGTACTATCATTACTCCCATTTTCAAGAAGAGGTTAATTATCTTGTCCAAGGTCATAGTAAGTGATATATAGGTGGGATTTGAACCCAAGCAGCCTGGCTCCAGAGACCAACATCAACTACCACATTATACTGCTATCGCACCGCAGTATAAGAACTTGGGACCATTGCTCGATGGAGCTAGGTGGTTCTTTATTTGGGCTCACTAAATGCATGATGTCGCTCTAAAGACAAAGGAGTGCCTGTCCCAAGCCATGGTGTTTTTAATTGCCTCGTAGGCATGTGAAAGCAGTGAATAAGGAAGACCGAAGAAGAATTGATACCTTTGAATTATGGTGTTGGTGAAGAATATTGAATATACCATGGAATGCCAAAAGAACAAATCTGTCTTGGAAAAAGTACAGCCAGAATGCTCCTTAGAAGCGACAATGGCGAGACTTCGTCTCACATACTTTGGACATGTTATCAGGAGGGGTCAGTCCCTAGAGAAGGACATCATGCTTGGTAAAGTAGAGAGTCAGCGAAAAAGAGGAAGACCCTCAGTGAGACAGACTGACACAGTGGCTGCAACAACGGGCTCAAGCGTAACAACTATCATGAGGATGGTGCAGGACTAGGCAGTGTTTCGTTCTGCCGTACACAGGGTCGCTAGGAGTCCGAACTGTCTTGGTGGAACCTGACAACAACAACAAATGCATGAAGTAGCATCCAGGAAAAAAAGGCTACTTCTGTCCCCAAGTATGGGTGCCTTAATTCTACCCAGTAAAAGATAAGGTAGCTCCTCCCTAGGAACAAAAGCCTGTGTGATTTGGGCTGGCCAAGGCAACCAATAGCAAAGCAAGCACTCCCTCTAGTGAGAGACATAGACCACTGGCAAAACCCATGCCTAAGAAGGAAGGACTCTATCTAGTCCAGCATTTCTTAGAAGAGCTGAGTAAGTTAGATCATTCTAGAGACATATATTCCAGGGCTCACGTTCTCAGATCATGGCTGTGAACATGAATATCTTCAGAGACTTTCAACTATTCTGCATGAATACAACTACTAAGACAATTAGTCGCTCAGAAAACCAAGGCTATGCCACTCTTCTATCTTTGTGTTTGCTCAATCTCCTCTCCCAACCTATGAGTTGCAGTTGCAGAAGTAATGATGTTGGTGCTTCCTTCTCAATAGACTGGCAGAGGAGCGGGTAGGGCGTTCCCTAACTATGCCATCCCCGGGAGGGATCCACCCTGGCTGACTACGGAGCAGTTACCAGTTGCTGGGGGATACATCGTGACCATCTAGCAATAGCAAAATAAAACCTTGACACTTCAGTTCTTTGCATCGCTGGACCAAGACGTTCCTTGAGTAGGATTCTGTGCACACCGGTGGTTACAAGTAGATGGGACGATCTTCAAAACATATGCGCTGGGACGTTGCAAATGCGGGCTTTCACAAGCTGCTCAGTCCGTGATTTCCTAACCCGGCGGATGCTCCCTTGAAAGTTACCAAGTTGTTTCACTGGATAAACGCTGGGTAAATCCTTGTTGAGAAAATTAAAAAGAAAAAATAAACGTGTTCGGCCCCGCCGCCGCAAGAATAAACAATGATTTATCTAGAAAGTACGTGTCGGTGTGGCCACAACGGTCCCCCGGAGGTAACAGCCGAAGAAGGGGCTCAAGGAGCATTCCGTGGGTGCCAGACCAGGCTCATGTCGCGCCTGCCGGGCCGCTGGTGCGGGGCCGGGCTGGAGGTCGCCTTCGCCGCTCCCTCCTCACCGTAGCGCACGGGCCGCCGCTCCCGGCCCGGGCTGCCCGCCCAGCTGTCGCTGAGGGCGCCGCTGTCCGGGAGCTTTATTCGTTGTCACAAGCCGTGGTAGCTACCTCACGGGCGGCCGCCCCGCGCGGTGACTGCGCAGGCGAATGGGGCGAGGGCGCTAACTGGGGCCAGGTCACGCGGACTGCGACCCACGGGGACTACTACAGCAGGGGGACGACGGTAACGCCAACCGTTGGCAATGCTGGACCGCTAACGGCCGCGCGCTAACGACCGCGCTCCACCGTCGCCCAACCCCTTTCTCTCGCCCCGCCCCCCCCGCCCCTCTTCCCGCCCCTTCCTTCCTCGCGAGCGCGCCGGCCTCCAAGCTCGCGCTCGCAGCTCATGTCGACGGAAGACGAGCCCAGGGGCGGGGCGGAGGTCGTCGCGCCGTGGTGACGCAGTACTGCCGGCGCGGACGGGTGACGCGGCAGAGCCCGTTGTCTGTGTGGGGCTGAGGGGCCCCGGGGGCGACAGGGGCTCCCGGCGGGGCCGGCGGTGGGTCGGGAGGGCCTGGACATGGCGCTTAGGGGCCGCCCCGCGGGAAGATGAATAAGGGCTGGCTGGAGCTGGAGAGCGACCCGGGTGAGAAGGGGGCTGGGCGGACCAGGGGCTGCGGGGGCCACGGGTGGGCCCATAGGCAGGCGTATGTCCGCGGGAACGCGCCTGTCTGACTCCCCCACCTTGTCTTGTCGCCCCCACCCAGGCCTCTTCACCCTCCTGGTGGAAGATTTCGGTGAGTAAGAGCCTCCCCTACCCGCCGGACCGGGGCTGTGGTCGCCCACCCCGGCGCAATCTTGCTCCAGGGCCAGGGGCCAACCTGCCTGACAGCTTTCCTTTCCTGTTCGCAGGTGTGAAAGGCGTGCAGGTAGAGGAGATCTATGACCTTCAGAGCAAATGCCAGGGGTGAGTGGCTTGGCGCCAGGGCCTCCCCTCACACCCGGAGGGCTGGGGAAGAGTACTTCTCAAGGGAGGCAGTATCAGCAACCCCGAGTTGTAAAATCTTCTTAAGGAAGCATCTCTTCCCTCTTTCTGATCAAGCTGATATTCTCTCAGTGCGTCCCTTTATGTGCCCCCCCGCCCCAATCCAAATCCTGACCATGCTTTAGGGGTACAATTCAGATGCCTTTGCTGGTCTTGCAGCAGGAAGCCCCTTCTTTCCGTGAAGGTTACACAGTGCCTTTTTGCAGCTGTAATTGATTAATTGCAGTTTTAATGTGCCTGTGCGTGTCTGTGGCTTCAGATCCAACACAGGGTCCTGTATTGATTGCTTGGCAATCTGGTGTTTGACAAGGCTCCTTCTGGGTGGCCTTTCTCAGCTTTTTGCCCTGGTAGTCCCACAGAATAGAGGTGTGGGGAGACTGCTACCGTGACAGACCAAGAAGTCTGCTTTTTGTTTCCTGGGAAAGAAGGGACTGGTGTATGTGTTTATTTGCTTCTCTGGCTGCATTGAGGCGTAACCCTTGTGGTCCATAAGGGGGAATTAGTGTTTAAATTCCTCATCAGACAGATTTTGGTTCTCACCTTACCTGGTGTTCCTTACCTGGTGAACCTGGGCCGTTGGTTCCCACTTTTCTTCTGTTATCCACCAATCATAGGCTCTAGGCGTAAGGAGCCTGAGTGGACTCCTGGAGCACCACAACCAGAAGTTGATGCTTGGCTCTGCCTGCTGTAGACCTCTGGGATGTGAGCTCTCAGGACCACTTTGGGGGCATAGTGTTGGGAGAGAAGTGAGATCCTGGCAGGGACACCTGAGTGGTAACACAATGTACGGGGACAGGGGGAGAAAGAAAGGGATGCTGATTGGCTTCTGCCCCTTGGCTGATCTGTCTCTGCCCCTTACTTTCCCTAGCCCCGTATATGGGTTCATCTTCCTGTTCAAATGGATCGAAGAGCGCCGGTCCCGTCGCAAGGTCTCTACGTTGGTGGATGATACGTCCGTGATTGATGATGAGATTGTGAATAACATGTTCTTTGCTCACCAGGTCTGCTGGGCTCTGGGCTCTGTCTGGAGGGTGGGATGCTGCCAGTTTCTTTGCTTGGGAAGGGGAAATGGGGGCAGGCAGGAGAAGAAGATAGGCAGATACCAACGGTGGTGGTTGCAGAAACCTCTTGTGAGAAGATGCTAAGCTCTCATTCACTAGCCTGGGAAGACCTTTAGGCAGTTTGGTGTCAGAGTCATTCCCCGCTCTCTGCATCCCCAGACAGCCGGTGAGTATTTAGCTGGTGCTTGTTGAATGAGCAAATGTTGGGCTAAAATGAAAAGAGCTTATCAGGGTTGTTGTCCAGATATGACTGCCCTTCTCTGAGTCCTTATTCCCAATGAGTATGGGCTTGAGGAAACTGGGGTGAGGGGTGCTGCATATGAGTGACTCTTCTTGGTTTCACAGTTGATCCCCAATTCTTGTGCTACTCATGCCCTGCTGAGCGTGCTCCTGAACTGCAGCAATGTGGACCTGGGGCCCACCCTGAGTCGCATGAAGGACTTCACCAAAGGCTTCAGCCCTGAGGTAGGCTGTGGCACCTTAGTCCAGGCTCACAGCCAGCTGGACACATCCGACCGCCAGGGCTGCTGATAATGCCACTACATGGCATTTGGTACTGTGGGGCTTTTCCTTTATAAATGATCATTTTCATTACATATGACCTTTAAGATAATTGCGTGAGGCAGTTGGTTGTAAGCCAGAGAAGGAGACGGACCTAGAGAGGGAAGGGGCTTTGCCTTGGTGACACCATGTTAGGGCCTTCTGTGTCAGGGCTTTTCTTGTTAGGCCATACTATTCCTAGTGTCCACTGATTACTGCACAAGGCCAGTAGAGCCCATCTCTTTGGGGCTCCAGAGCTCTCTTCTACCCCTCACTAGTCCTTCAGGAGTGTTAACCTGTACTTCAGATTCCGGGAACGCCTCCAGGCCTGCTCTCTGGAACTGTGCTCCCACTTAAAGGCCCATCTGAGAAGTTGGTCTGATGTTCTGACATGGCCTTATTTTCTTCCCTTTAGAGCAAAGGATATGCAATTGGTAATGCCCCGGAGTTGGCCAAGGCCCATAATAGCCATGCCAGGTGTGTGGGAGCTGTGATGCCAGTGGTGGTGGTGGGGGTTGCCCCCTTTTGGGTCCTGACTGTCTTTTCCTAGGCCTGAGCCGCGCCACCTCCCTGAGAAGCAGAACGGTCTTAGTGCAGTGCGGACCATGGAGGCGTTCCATTTTGTCAGCTATGTGCCTATCACAGGCCGGCTCTTTGAGCTGGACGGGCTGAAGGTCTACCCTATTGACCATGGTAGGCACCCTGAACTGGGGGCCCACTGGGATTCCTCTGCTTGCCTCCTGGGGAGCTGGGGCTCAGGGTCCTCAGGTACTTGGGGACCTGGTGGCAGGGAATAGGTGCTGAGGACATTTGGCTCTGGCCAGTATAGCACCCTGCGCCATCTGCCCAGCCCCTGACTCCTTGGCTCAGCTGCTCTTCTCCATCCTCCTTCCCATGCCTGGTCTGCCCAGCTCAGGGTTGCCCGCCTGCTGACTCCTCGCCTTGGTCTTCTCTAGGGCCCTGGGGGGAGGATGAGGAGTGGACGGACAAGGCCCGGAGGGTCATCATGGAGCGGATCGGCCTCGCCACTGCAGGGTAAGGGCCTTGTGCCTGCCCTGCTCTCCCCTCTGGAGCTGTGCCCCTTTTGGGAGGGACAGAGAAAAAGGAACCATGGCGGAGAGGGGTCAGGTGACTTGTGCGAGGCCACATGGTGAATCTGGCAAGATCGGGTTTAGATCTTGGGCTCCCAACTCCTTGCCTCATCTTCTCTCTGGGCTGCCTGTGGCCTGCTCTGGGATGGGCCAGGGAAGGGGCAGGCCTTGTTGGGACCCTGGGGTGGCCCAGGTGTGCTGGCTCACTTCCTGACAGGCTCCTCACACAGCTTATTGAAAGATACCAGCTCAGATGCCTGGCGTGCGTGGCCAGCTGCTCCTGCCCGTTGGGGTGGGGCCTGTACCTATGGGCACAGGTGTGACTGCAGGGAGCCCTGCCAGGAGATCTGCCTCAACCTGATGGCAGGGCCCAGGGTCGGGGCTGCTCTCACGGCTGCGGCTGTGACTGCAGGGAGCCCTACCACGACATCCGCTTCAACCTGATGGCGGTGGTGCCTGACCGCAGGATCAAGTATGAGGCCAGGCTGCACGTGCTGAAGGTGAACCGTCAGACGGTGCTTGAGGCCCTGCAGCAGGTGAGTGCCCCTCCTGCCTGGCCCACTCCCACTGCGCCACCTGTTCCTGATACCCAGATCACTCTCTTACGGATCAGAGTTTCATGAACTACTTCCTCTGCTCCCTCTGTGGAAAAGGTGGGACTTGGTGGGGAGGTGTGTGTGTGGGAAAATAGATTCTAAAAGGAGATCTGGGTCTGGCTGTCTTACTTCCCCATGAGTGAGTGGGTGAGCAGAGCCAAAGCCATTTTGCTGCCCCTCAAGGGCCCTTAACTGTCCAGGAAGAGGCCTGGGCCTGTCCTGACTCCTCTGTGCCACCACCGATTCTGTTTTCAGCTGATTAGGGTAACACAGCCAGAGCTGATTCAGACCCATAAGTCTCAGGAGTGTCAGCTGCCTGAGGAGGCCAAGCCAGCCAGCGGCAAGTCCCCTCCGGTGCTGGAGGCAAGCAGGGCCCCAGCGGCCTCTGAGGGCACCCACACAGGTACTGGGGCTTGGAGCCTCTCTTATGGGCCTCAGAGCCACCCCCTCATAGACTGATCTGGAAGGCCACGCAGGGCAAGTCTTTCTGTGGATGGCCTTGGGCAGTGGTGCAGAGGGTTCTGTGGGAGGTCCTGGTGCCTGTAGCTCTGTACCCTGGGAATGTGGGGGAGAGCAGTCCTCCCTTAAAGGGCAGCTCCCATAAAGGGCTGCTGTCAC